AGGAAAGGCCTCGACGACAGCCCAAAAAAAAAACGGAAGGCTTTACTTTGAAGGATAACAGCCCACCTTAAACCAAGCCCATCACCACATTAAACCAAGCCAGCAAAACCAAAATCGACCAATACAGATTTGAAAAATTTGTGGTTCAATTTAAAAAACTGATTGCTGAGGTGGAATTTTTTGCCCCCCTCACCAAAGCTGAGTTGGACACCCTAAGAAGGGAGGTAAGTCAACTTTATTGTATTAGATATATATATATATATATATATATATATATATAATAGTTATATTTTGTGAGCTCCTGAGTCAAAATTTAATATATACTTAATCATGTCTTTTAAGAAAATTTAGACCTCATTCCAACGTTCGTTATTCTAAATGGCATGATTTTATAAATATCTTACTATAGTGATGAAAATTACTTCCATTTATTATTAAGGTTTATCGAAATTTGAATTATACTAAAAAAATCATCCATTAATTAAAAAGAGTATGTGATCCACTCTTACCTTGATCAGTCATCCTATCTATATATATACACATACACGTCCTTTCTCAATTTAATTCTTATCATTGTTTGGTATTTTATTTCGTGTATTGATCGTTTTTAATAAGTATCACTAGTTTAAGGCCTGCTGATATACCTCTTATAAGGAGTATGGCACTTAGTTAAACCCATCGCAGAGACACATACTGCTGGAGCTACACAAAGAGTGGACAGTACACAGTCAAGTCAGGTTACTGGGTAGCTAGGAATGTACTAATAAAGGAGAAAGAGAATATGGTAGATGAGCCTAGTATCAAAAGACTTCAAGCACAGGTATGGAAGGTTAAAGCTCCTCCGAAGATATGTCATCTTATGTGGCAGATTATTTCAGGGCAGGTGGCTGTTACGAGTGCGCTGAATCATAGACACATGAGATGTGATAATTACTGCCCACGATGTGGAGAACCAGAGGAAACAATTGCACATACAATTTTTCAATGTCCACCGGCTTTACAGGTATGGGCCTTAGCATCTATACCCACCAGTTCGTTGCTATTTCCTTTGGAGAGCACGTATGCGAATATGGATTATCTATTATGGCGGAAGAAGGCCATTTGTGGGCCAGAATTAGAAAAGGATCCTTATCCTTGGTTAATATGGTACATTTGGAAGGCCCGGAATGATAAGTTGTTCAGAGGAATAGACAAGGACCCTTTGGAACTGGCTAGGTATGCAGAGAGTGAGTGTCTTGCCTGGTTTCAAGCTAACGAGAAGGAAGTGGAGATTACACAAGAGAACGGCGATATTGAATGTCAGACCATAAGTCTACAAGATATCTGCATGGTAGACGGTTCTTGGACCTCTATAGACCAGTTCTCCGGATGTGGATGAGATTGGAAGGATAGCATGGGAAACAGTCAGTTGATGGGGATGCATAATGTGAGTAGAGTGGAATCGGCTTTGCATTCTGAGTTGGAGGCGCTGCGGTGGGCAATGGAGAACATGCTTCAACATTCGCCATGTCAGAGCTTTGGGACGGACTGCAAGGAATTGTTAGCAATGCTCAAGGATCCCCATGGATGGCCAAGCTTTTCGACGGAACTGGAGAGGATCTCGACGCTGAGGATTTGCTTTCCAGCCTTTAAGATTTCTTATGTACCTCGAGCTCTAAATATTGTATCCGATCATTTAGCTAAGACTGCCCGATCCTTCCATCGGGATCTCATGTATGTAGGTTGTTCTATTCCGGTCTGGATTCCCAGACCACCTCAAGCTTGAGTAATAGATCAGCCGTTCGTTGTCAAAAAAAAAAATAAGTATCACTAAAAATTTCAGCTAAAGTTTTTCTCTGATGTGGTTATTGTGAGAAATAAGCTTCCATCGTCTCTTGACATTGGTGGAATAAAATTTTTCCGCCGTCATGGCTGCTCTAATTACTTCACTTTATGCCTTTGTCGCACTTTCCTTTCCAGTGCTATCTTCGTTGAATCTTAAGGAGAATTTTATGGTCACAAGTTCTTGCTTGGAGAGCACCAATATTGAACTGTCCTCTAAGGTGCTCGGAAAGCTTATGATTGTGTAAGTTCCATCTCGCCTCACCATGACATCCGTTCGAGGTTCGCTCTCTCTTTGCACAACCGATCTGTGAGGCTGCCCCTTTCCCGGTCGTGCAGCTGTTGGCTACAGTAGATGTCTTTGTCTTCTCTATATGTCGAACAGAACTCACCAGATCTGGTCTTCTCTCAGTCAAATCCCAAAGAGTGAACACATTATGCACCTTTTTACCGTCGTCGTCTCTTACCTTCGGTGGATACATGGCTTGCTGTCTCTTCAGAAGGCATTATCCCAGCCTCACAAATCAGTTTCCAAACATTAATTCAACCCTCTTGCTCTGAAAGAGCTCTCAACGTCGGGTCAGACTTCTCATGGTGTTGTCTCCCTTGATTTTACCGGTCATCTCCATTTTACCTCAGTGATGCCTCACTGAATTTTATCTTGCACATTCTGTTGATGGCTTCATCTCTTGAAACCCTTCAGCAAACCTTATCTATGGGGCCCCCGGTCCCCCCCCCCCCACCATGACCTTCACATTTGTCTCTTGTGTATCTTGTGTGTTGGATCTGAGAGCCACTTCTCTCCAAATTCCAAAGCAAAGAAGCTCTTCGACGCTGACCATTACGTAATGGAAAGCCCTCTCCATCCCACCTCAGCCACCTCTCCTTTCTTTAGATCCGAGTGTATCGTTTGTAACTTCCAGATCTCTAAAGACATGTTTATGTGGGGTTCCCGGACAGAATAGTGATGTTGGCTTAGATCGAGCTCGATCTGACCAGCGAGATCTGCTATTTGTCAGCTCCAATCTGTCTCGGGGTGGGGTTTTCCTTCTCCGGTGAGCTCAGTCTATTACCTTCTGATTTTCCATGCCTCTCACCTTCCCCTTTCATTTTCGGACTTTTTCCCAGACCTTTGTTGCCTCCGATCAATTGATCGATTCTACTTTATCTAAGTGTGAAGAGTAGATGGGGCTGGTCCCCTCAGTCATTTATTACCAATTGTGGAGCACGTGTCTCTTCCATTCTATCCTCTCATACCAAAAGGCTATGGTATCTTTGTACTCATATCATGCTCTTGTGGGCATGGTTCATACGAATTATTGCCAAATATTGTATTAGCCCACTAGAACCCTAAATCCTGGCAACAAATGTGACATCTAACTTCGTGATTTCGGTATGTGTGGCGTTTTTAGAGATTTATGATGGGTACATCAGGATTTATATTCTGCGATTATTGTCATATTATTTGTAGAAAGAAATTTTGGTGGTTTCATTGTGTTAATTTCTGAGTTTATCTTCTCCCTCTACAAGGAGAGAACATGACATTTTTGACATGTTATTGAGATATTGCTTCATCTTGCTTACATGGTTGCTATTTTGTGTAGCAGTCTGCACGAGACCAACAATGTAATCTAAAATACTTTGGTATTTTTTGTTGGTGAGAGTTGGCTCTCAATATCACATTATGTGATTATGTTCCAGCTATCCGTCGTTTTTTTAAGGTTTCTTTGACGAATTCAAACTTTGTTACAAGTTTGCTATCATCTTCTGAGAAAGACTTATCTTAATTAGTTCTATATGTTCTTGTTTTTTATGATTTCTCCCAAATGGGATGGAAATTTCCTTTTTATTTTGTATCCAAACAAGGTTGATTAAAAAAAAATGTATGTGGTGTTACACAAAAAAAGGTTGTATCATTCATAGCCATTAAACTTTGTTTCAGCTTCATTCGCTTATGCTTTACTTGAATGGAAGACTTCTTTACACTGGACTGGTAACAAATGATTTTGAGTGAAACAACTGGAATATCTTTAGTAGTCCATACAAAAATCTTTTTTTTCCCTTCAAAAGACCGATTAGTTTTCCTTTATTAGTTCCTAGATTTGATGTTGACAAATTTTTGGGCTCGGGTTCTTCTATCGCGATTGGATTCACCTCAGTACGAACTGAAAGATCCATTATAACAAAAAAAAAACGTGATTATCTTGGCCTACCATGCTGAAATCTTTTGACTTAGGTTGCAGCTTAAGGGATGACATATAGCAATACCTAGAGATCTTCTAGCTCCCCAGAATCTTTATTACTTTTTTTGAGTTGATATATTAACACAATGGTGATATATTGAAGGCATTATCTTCAGCATAAATCCATAGGTTCCAAAGATTGCAATAAAAATAATTTTGTTACTTTTCTTCTTTCACGGATCCCTACAAGTAGGAGTACTTAACCTACTGTGCTAACCCTCTTTCCGATGAAATCGGAATAATATTTTTGAGTTGTTTGAAATTTTTGTCACTTTCATTTAACCTAATATTATAGCAAATACTACGTTTGAGTAAAGAACAATCATAAAAGGAAATATTGGTGTGAGAAAAATTAACGATTAACAAACTTATTTTTTTCAAAATAGCTCAACTAATAGTTCTATTTAAATAAATATTTATTAAAAGAAAATGTAAAGGTAACATAGACAGTCAGATTTTCTTTTTGAGTAACAGAGTTGAATGTTTCTTACTTTTCTTTTTGTGCAACTTTTCTTACATTTATTACAACTTCAAATATCTTTAAATAAGGCAACATATTTTTTTTCATTTTTTTTTCTTATATAGAATAAATAAAGAAACAATATATTTGACTTTTGGTGGTGCATATTGTATTTGTAATTTTAAGCCATGTTAAATATGTATGCTTTCTTCATTCCGACTGAACTTGCTTGCCGGATTTTCCTACACAATGACAAAAATGGCAAGTTTTGTAAGAGAATTACTCTTAGTAATAATGACATCAAACTAGTTACCATTATAAGACAATGTATATTAATTGAACTTTCATACCTCTACAATGACTTTCTCTTCGACCTCTAAACATGAATTTCATCGTTTTCTCTAGACACAATGCCGACATTTTGTGTTGTTGCAATCTCGACATTCTCTAAAAGATCAACTTTATCTTTGTTTTTTTTAAAAAAAAGTGTCATCATTTTCTGTGAACGCACTTTCAATAGTATCTATATTTGATACAAGATTAACTTCATCTTCATTATTTAAAACATGAGCTTCTTCATTATCCATGGGCACAGTTTCAACAGTTTCTAAAGCGGTAGTCTCTACTTTCTCAACAAGACCAACATTACCTTCGTCATTTAGAACAAGAGTGTCATCATATTCTATGGATGCACTTTCAACAGTCTCTACCTTCTCTACAAAATCAACTTTATCTTCGTCCTTTAGAACAAGAGTGTCATTGTTTTCTTTGGATGCACTTTCGACAGTCTCTACAAGATGAACTTCATCTTCGTCTTTTAGATCAAGAGTGTCACCGTTTTCTGTGGAGACACTTTCAATAGTCTCTACATTCTCTACAAGATCTATTTCATCTTCATCCTTTAAAACATACGTGTCATCGATTTATGTGGGCATATTTTCAACAGTTTCTGAGGCGACAATCTTTACATTTTCTACAAGATTAGCTTCATATTCATCCTTTAAAGCATGAGTGCTATCATTTTCTGTGGGCACAACTTCGACAGTTTCCATGGCGGAAGTCTCAACATTCTCTATATGATCAACTTTATCTTCATCCTTTAAAAAAAGAGTGTCATCGTTTATTGTGGACACACTTTTGACAGTCCCTACATACTCTACAAGAGCAGCTTCATCATATAAAACATGTGTGTCATGGATTTCTTTGGGGACATTTTCAACTACTTCTGAGGCGGCCGTCTCTACATTCTCTACAAGATCAACTTCATCTTCTTCCTTTAAAACATTTTTTGTGGATGTAGTTTCGACAATTTCAGAGGTGGCAATCTCTACATTATCTAAAACATCAACTTTATCTTCATTCTTTAGAGCAAGAGTATCATCGTTTTCTGTGGACCCACTTTTGATATACTCTATGCACTCTACAAGATCATCTCCGTCTTCATTCTCTAAAATAGGGGTGTCACCATTTCCAGCAGAAACATTTTTTACAGTTTCCAAGGCGGTACTCTCTACATTCTCTAAAAGATCAATTTTATGTTCGTCCTTTAAAACAAGACTGTCATCAATTACTGTAGACATACTTTTAACAGTCTCTACATTCTCTGCAAGATCAACTTCATCTTGATCCTTTAAAACAAGAGTGTTACTGTTTTCTATGGGCACAATTTTGATAGTTTCTGAGGCAGTTGTCTCTACATTCTCTACAAGATTAACTTCATATTTTTCCTTTATAATAGAAGTGTCATCATTTTCTGTGGATGCAGTATCAACAGTTTTCACATTCACTACAAGATTAGCTTTATCTTCGTCCTTCAAAACAGAAGTGTCATTGTTTTCTTTGGACTCTGTTTCAACATTTTCGGAGCTAGCAATTTCAACATCATTTGTGGTCAAAATTTTTGAATATGTTCTAACTAGAGTCTCCATCTCCGGCTTTGGTTCTTCAACTTCGAGAAGTGGAATTTTAGTGTCAGCGTCATTGAAAATTTTGTATTCAGTACTTTTTTCCTCTTCTACAACTGTTTCACTATCAATTATTTCTGCTATTCAACCAGAAAAGAAACATTTGCATCAATGTTGTCTATACAATACCAAACATACCTTCCAAGAAAAAGTGATGTATTATCTACGTTATTTTTGTAATTTTTTATATCAAGTAACTGTTTTAAACAAAAAAAACATCAACTTAATTAGATATTTGCATGGTAATTTTTTAAAAAAAAATAGATCGTATAGAAAAGAAGAAATCATCACAAAATAAAGGGGGGTTGTTAAATAGCTTTCTTGAAAAGAATATCGTGATATAAAAACATGTTATCGTCTATCAAGTTAAGACACTGATGATATTTGTGATAGACGTACGGTCAATTTTGGGTTATCTACTTATTCCCTAAACTATATGAACATCTAAACCACTTGATTAGATTTATTTTTTGTAACACACCACTTAATTAGATTATATTCATTATTTACGTACCCTTTTGTTCATCCATAGGCCAAATTCTCTCATTTACGTCGTTAACACTTTCTTCCGTCATAATATTTTCCAACATTGTCGCCATCACCAACGGCAAAGTGGTTGTTATCTTTTCCTCATGTTTTTGTTCATCATTTGTCTCTTCCTCCAGCGTCTCGTCACAATCTCCTCCAGGTTTCTTTCCCTCTAATTTATTGGTATTATTTTCTACGGTGGTTTGTGGCTGGTCTGAAGAAACCACATCCGAGATGTCATTTGTTTTTCGGACAATCGTGGTGTTACCAGTAACGACATCATGTTTTGATTGTCCACAACCCATTTTTTTTATAATTCTTCTAACTAAAAATCAATTGATTTTGTAATGAGAAAGAATGAAAGGTTAATAGAAATACGTACACAGTAAGAATTTTAGATGAATTTTTACCAAAGGAGATAAACAATATGATAAACTAACTTCAGTTATTTTATTTGTGTTCCGGTTCACTTTTGTTAGAAAAAGGTTATGTTGTTTGTACGTTTTAGATATGATTGGCGTTCGAAACTTTAGGCGACACTAGTTTTTATTAGAAATTTCAGATCATTTAGTTTTCTTTTCTTATTAATAGAACATGTTTGGTTAGAACGACGGAAGCTACCCTAAATTAAAAATATTGAGGAAATAGAAAAGAAGTTAACGAACAGATCTTTATACAAAGAAATAGGAGTATGAAACAAAATAAACGTTTTTTGTTTTGTATAGATTTAACAGAAAACCATGTATCATATATGACTGGTCTAACTGTAATTTGAATATGCTATATCAATGAAATATGGTAGAACTCTTCTTTTTTTTTTCTTTTTTTTTTTTACAACATGGTAAAATTCTTCAAGTCAACGGAATTGGTATATATATACTAGGGTTGGCCCGCCCTACGGGCGGGAAATTATAATAAAAATATTTTATATGAATTTATATTAATTTTACTGAACATTTTAAAACAACACTGTAATTTTTTTACAATGAATGGTAAAAAAATATTGTAGATAAAAAATTTATTTAATTTAAATTACTTTTTATTCCGAATCATTATTAAAATTGAAGGATATGTTGTTCACTCGTTTATATACATTTAAGATATTTTGAATTAGATTTCTCATTATTTTGAGGTTTCTACAATTTGAGAATTCTATAGAGAAAAAAACTTCCCATTGAAATTTCTTTTATTATAGTTGCGAATCAGTATATCTACTCTATTAAAATAGAGTCATTCTTTTTATCTACTGATACAAGTTGTCATTTAAATTTTGGACTCTTTCTAAAATGTTACAAATAATATAAGTCATATAATTGATTGAACCGTATTACTTAAATTAAACCAACACAATTAATGTAAAGAGACGACCTTAATGTAAACTACCTTCAAAATACGGCAGGTATCTATGTGTATACCGAAAACACATATTTTCTCCTAAAAATATGGAATGTTCTAAAAGAATCTATATCATCAAAATATTGAAAATGGTAATATACTAATTATACTTAAATTAAACCACGGTGGTCATTTATGGAATATAGTCTTGAGCTTACTTTTGTTTTTTGAACAAATTATATAGTTTGGTTTTTGGGCTTCGTATAAGAAAAAAACTCCAAAAACATTGAATAAACTTTTCATATTAAAAGATCAAAAAATCAATTATTATTTTCAGACCAAAAGATATTTAATATTTTTAACAAAACAAAATTATCTATTATTAATCATTTATTTAAATCATGTACTTTAAAACATGTTAATATATTTTTTTATTTTAAATAACAATCACTTTGTTTTGATAAATTTCAATGGTAACTTTTAAATAATTTATTGTTTTATTTTTCTTAAATAATTTACTGATTAAAAGAATGTAAAGCAAAACCAGAAACTAAATCTAAAAACTAAAATCCAAAACCAAAAGCTGAAAACACATGTCATATTTTTTTGCTTTGTTTATTTACAAAATAATCTATTTCAATTTTTTTTTTAAATTTGTTATCATCTTTTCAGTTTTAAATTAGATGTTCGATTATTTGAGATTTGTTTGTTGGTAATATTAGTTCAAACTAACTCAGCGGGTTTAAAAATTAAAAACCCAAACCAAAACTGAAAATGAAAAATAGAAACTTAATAACTAAAAACCAAAAACCAAAATCTAAAAATAAAAAACTGAAACTAAAAACTAATGAAAAATAATCATCACCACAAATTTTGGTGAACTGATTTTATATCAAAATATTCTTTAAATTAAGACAAAACCCAGTTATATAAATTTTTAATCATAAAACATTTCCGCGTTTTTCAAGCGCGGGTCAAAATCTAGTTATTTTTAATGTTAGGCTTCAGCTTGTAAACTTGGGCTACATTTAGTTAATAACCAAAACGTATCCATTTATGTTAGGTTAAATTTATTTCTTAAATGTATAAGTTGCTCGCTAGATAGAAAAGAACAATATGCTCCAAATTCGTTTAATTCCAATAAGTGACGAGGTTGTAAGGTATTTATCTGATCGAATCTACAATGCTATAATTGTAATAAAAATAAATACTTATTTCATATTCGAGAGCATATATACGAAGAAAGCTACACACTTCACGAAGAGAGATAACCCAACCAACCAAGTAATCTCCCATCTCTTTTTTTATCATCAACTTCCACCTTTTGCGTTTGGATCAATAACAAAGACCCAAACTTTATGATTAAAAAACAACAGAACTTGATAGTACTTGTAAAAAAACAAAAGAACTTGTCGTAGACAAATGCAAACTTCAAAGCAAAAGAGAAAAGAAAGAAGACATTTAATTGAAGACTATCCTAAACCATCAGGGACCAAAAGTCACTCGAAGGCCCATGCTCATGAACCTCATCTTCTTCCTCATGCGTGTAATTATTCTTGATAGTGCACATATCTTCTGGAGTCTTGTCTATGATCATATCCGCAATAGTCTTGGGCGGCCAGGTCAAGAAGTCCAATGATGTTCAAATATTTAGCAGCCTACAAAACAAATCATCAAAAAGACTCAAGTCCAGTCCACTTTTCTTATAATGTCATATTTAATCTGGAGCAGAGGAACTCCTGCTGTGTTCAGATCTACATGCACCATAAGAGTTACTAAACATTACAAAAATGAAAATAGAGCGCTTCTTGGAATGAGTAAAGCCGGTAATGGTAAAATTTTGGCCAAAAAGAGTTGCTCCATATCTCAGAGAAAAGAATACAATTAATGGTAAGCCTGATAGAACCTGAGGCGTAAACTGAGATCAATCTAAATCAACCCACACAAAAACATCATAGGTAACAATGAACTCAACTTATATTAAAATACCTCAGAGCCAGGAGGCTTAACCACCATCGCCGGTGACAGAGGAGTTTCTTAGGACAATAAGGTATATGAGGAGACCTAGAGCCGCTCGCAAAGGAGGAGACGAAGTGAATCGTTCGAAGAATTGACGTTTGTTTCTTTTTGAAAGAATCTGCACCAGATTTCATAAAATAATCAGAATAGGATGAAACCTTGAAACGAATTGTAGATCTACCCAGACTTTATTTTGGTGCTAGAGCTTCCAATCAAACGATACTTAAGAATTATTAGGGTTTGAAATTGGGGCCGAAAAATCAATTATGCAGAGCCTTCTTAGATTTGCAGTAAAGCATATTCTAACTGTATATCAAAACGATAAGAGGGCTAACCTTTTTACAGGTGCAGTACACCGCCTTGAAGAGGATAACTCTCATTCAATATCAGATCGTGCTTGATGTTTGTCTATGGAGTTAGGTCGTCTGTTTAAAGAGATGAATCAAACCATCGTGACTGCTCATATTTTTAGAACCATATACGAAACAACGACATGGAAGCCACATACAGAGCTTTTACATGACGATTCGTCTAACTCTTCATCACCAAACTCCATTGTTTCTGCAGAACATCAGAGATTGATGAAGTAGATTTTGTTTTTTTCGTTGTGGGCATATCGATGAAGTAGATAAACCCTTACGTTTAGAAGCTAGAAGAAATCCCTCTGTACGGTTCAAAACAAAAGAATAGCCCAAAACAAAAGAGTCCAAGATAAAGCCCATTCTAAATGTGAACAAACCCAAAACGAAATTCATAGTTAAACATAAGTACACGTGTCAGTCTCTTGTTACACTATTTAGTAACGTGGCAGTCTAAAAAGAGTGAAAACCATACTTTATATATAAAGATATAAGACCATGATTATCCAAGGGTGCTTAGGGAGATGTTTAGAAGGAGAGGAGTGCTTAATTTGAAGAGAGAGAGTGTGGAAAATGCTTAATTAAGCACTTTTCACACTCTCTCTCTTCAAATTAATCACCCCTCTCCTCCTAAGCATCTCCCTAAGCACCCTTAGATAATCATGCTCTAAGGTTCGCTGAGTAGGATAATAAACATGTGAATGAATGATTCAGCTAGTGAAACAAACTGAGCCTGTCACAGAGTTTTGAAGTATTCACAAAGTTTTGAAGTATTTACTGAAGGTTGTTGGCAAAGTGAAGTAACGGGGTAAATTAGTTAATTACGACTCACGGACCACAATTTGAAAATAATGTATTTGTTGGTGGTGTAAAACATAAACCCTAAATCTTTTTTTTTCCTGCGTCATCGTCCTCCTCCTCCTCTCAACCTGGCGACTCGACTCAGTTAAAAACAAAAGTCCACACCTTGACTCAGTTAAACCCGTAAAATCACGAATCGCTAGATTCTTAAAACCCATTATCATCCCGGAGGCTAATCCGAGATCCGTCTCCTCTGTTTCTCGAATTTCCGGTTCTTTTCAATGGCCGAATCATGCGTCTCCTCCTCCCTATATACTAAAAGGTACTTCCTTTATCAACATTTTCACATACCCATTTCGAGATTAACCATCCCTAGCTTTGGATATGGGAGATGTAGTTTTGGGCTAATCCATAATCATGTAAAAAGTTCGAAAGTTGGATCTGTTTTATGCGAGAAAGGGGATCACTCTTAGCATAAGAAGTGATGCCACTTTATAGAGGGTTAAACGTGACAGTGAGATGATAATGTAAGCTTAAGGTTCTTTGAATGTAATGAAATAGTTACTACTGTATGTTATAGTGGAAATCTAAGCAATTCATATTGATATATCTTACGGTTCTTTGATGTGTTGCAGGGATGGATAGAAGCAATCACTTACATACTCGCTCGTCTTCTTTCACCTTGTTGATCCCTAGCTCAAGCTTTTCCTCTGAAGCGGTGAAGCTTGAAGGAGATCCTACAGGTTGCTACTATGTCGATTTGCTACTATGTCACTCATTGCATTTCCTCTGTGCAGTAACGGTGAAGGAACTGCATGATAAGATTCTTGATTCTGTAAATGTCAAGAGGTCAATGCTTCCAAATGCTTGGCTGTGGTCGTTGATTGAGAACTGCCAGAATCAGGATGACATTACTCTTCTCTTTGAAGTTCTTCAGAAGCTCCGTAGATTTGTAAGTACTTTAAAAATGCTCCCTTGTTATCATCAAATGGTTAAGATTTGGTGTTTCTGAGATTGCAGAGACTATCCAATCTTCGTATTCATGACAACTTCAACAGCAATCTATGCCAACAAGTTGCTAAGACTTGCGTGCGTGTTGGGGCAATTGACTCTGGTACGCCTAGTGTTGAATATTTTCTTCTATAGCTATTTTCTGAGTCGATGCTAATGCAGCTCTTTGTGGTTTTGTAGGAAAAAAAGACTTTCCTGAACTCATGGAAGAAGTAATGACACTCCTGAAAACGAATGACTTGCCTCTACAACCTGGTACAGCAGATTAGTTTTTAGGTATGTAAAAGTTAATTTTTCCCTCATTGCATTTGCATATGCTTTCTTATCAAGAGATGAATTTAAAATGTTTTTTTTTTTTTTGCAGAATCTGTCATGATACAGATAAGTGGGATTTACTAGGAAAGTACTCGAAAAAATTCTCCAAAGCTGGAGTTAAGTTGAGGAAGACCACGTTCGATGTATGGATGGACTTTGCTGCCAATAGAGGTACTTTTGATTGTTCTATAGAAGAATTGTCACTTCAAGTTCTCTTCAAGATATGACTTTGTAATCACTAAATGGATTTATCAATATATCATGTCACTGTTGTTATCAGGGGATACAGAGTCGTTATGGAAAGTAGATAAACTGAGATCAGAGACATACAATCAACACACTCTTTCTACTGCTTTTTCTTGTGCAAAGGTTAACACATCTCTTTTACTTTGTCATAATGTTTTCTACTTTCATAACTTACAACATATTGCCCCTTTTTCGCAGGGTTTCATACTTGAAAGTAAACCTGAAGAAGCTGCTGCCGTCATCCAGCTTATCTGCCAGGTGAGTCCAAACCTTTCTCTTCAGAGATTAAGTGTTTAGTTTGAAAATATGCGTTTGTCTTTGATTCTGCAGACATATGGTGACGACAAAAGTTCAGCAGTGTCGACTGAATTGAAGAAACTGGTAAATGAGTGGCCGGTGGAGGTTATCAGGCGTCAAGCTGAAGAAGATAATAAGGTTTTAAAAGTTATTTATCTCTACCTGTTATGTTTCTTTAACTCCGAAACCAAAACTTATACATAGTCATGTCTCTTTGTATATATAATGTTTGAACAGGCTCTGGCTGCTGCATTGAAATCTGTCATTTCTTCCATGATTAATGCGTTGCTAAGCTCGGGGTTGAACTTTAGCGTGGACTTAGATGAGTTATACAAGAGAGAAGCTCTTCTCAGCTGATTGTTTGAATCATCATTTACAGAAAGCTTCTTTTGCGGCTCCTCCACAGTTTTGTAAGTTTGTTCTTTTGCACCGAAGTTTTGATGTGATTGTGTCCTTTTCACGGTGGCAACGTAGAGAAGGGAAATAACGCATTGGTGTTCAGTTTCTTGCTTTTTTTTTTTTTTTTTTGGTCAAATGTGTTCAGTTTCTTGCTTATTAAGGTAAC